AATTAAAGTACTTACATGCATTATGATTATTATTACAATTTTGATTAATTACAAAAGAGTCATCTCAGAATGAAGTATCTTTTTAATCAATCTTTTTATTCATTATGTTTAGCTTGTATTTAGGTTTTTCACACCAATTAACCAATGTATCGGTTATTACAGAATTTTGAAATCACAATTATAGGCATGTATTTTCTGAGGAGAGGGTGGTGTTGACTTTTTGTGACTGCTTTTATTTGTGTTTGCGATGGGATTTCATTTCTTTCATTACCCATTGTCGGTTTAATTCAAAACTGTATGAGTTTTAGAGCTCAATAAGTAATAAGTCTTATTTAGGTATCAACAAAAGCTTATACTCTGAACATAATTGTTTAAATATAAGGTTATACTATTTACAATTGCTATACAATTTCTTTTTGGAGCATTTTTTGGGTACTAAAGTTCTTGCTAGATGTTAACCCAATTAAGCCATGCGTAAACAATTTTCAATATTATTATTCTACTCAAAGAAAAGAACGGGGTGATTTTTTTCCTATTTGTATACCTTTTTTCCTGTGTTTGGTACTAAATTTGTCATTACAGGAAATATATATTTTTGAAGTCATTGCCAATTTTCATGAGTTCGGCTCATGGTCAATTTTAGTTGAATTGCCCACATTCAAATGTATACAATTCTTTAAAATCATATTGATTTTATTTTGGCATGTATTCTTTGGTAGCAAAAATACACCCATCACATTAGGTAATTAAGCTAAGGGTAATTGCTGGTAAATTTTCGAATTCTCTGGTGTGCAAGTTTTATATAATCTCTCTATCTTTTATGAGGGAAAAGGTTAAACAAATACCTACAGTCTTCTCAGAAAATACATAGTGCATGTACAGTGTAAGTTTAACTTAAATAATTGATATTCCTGTTATAGGCAGTTTAAGACTTTTCAACTGATATCTTGTCATGATCTTGGTTTTTGATAATTAATCGGTAGTGTTAATAGTTTAGCATGGGTTGAGTTACTGAGAGGGCACTGATGTCATGGGGGGGGGGCTGCTGCTCTTATTAATTGAATTAATTGTTTAGACAGATAACTGGAATCTCAAGTTGGAGCATATGTGGGAGGGGTCGATCATGTTGCATTCCTTTACTTTTCTTTTCACTCCTTGATGGGATGTCACATATCATTTCAGATACCCCTCCCCCCCCCCCCCCCCCCTATAGGTATTCCTCTCAAGCAAATCAATCGATAGAGGAATGTGTAATTGGGTTAGTTCAGCAATTACATAATGATGCCTTTTGTCTCAAATTTTCAGACTTGTTGGATTGGATAGGAAAGGATCTTAAAGTAGTGTAGTTATTTTGGCTCTATGTTCTCCAGTTTCGCTCTGATGAGTGCGAGGTTATGTCTTTTGTATGTCTTTTTTGAGAGGCATGTGCATTAGTCTTTTCTCTCTTTCATAGTATCAACTTGTATTGACATCTTTATATTAATTGCAATCATGAGATGTGTAATAACGAGTACATTTGTAGGTTCTATTATAATTTGTTTTTTTCTTTGGTGATGGATCCTTTCTCTGAATGCAATTTGTACTTTATTTGCCTGTATAAACATCTATGTGTTTTTACATTTGTTGTTGTTCAGCTACCCTAAATACCCGACGTTATATTATTACCAAGAATGTGTTTCTTCTAACAATATTGACAGAAGAATTATATCTTTAATAAACGATTTTATCAGTATTGTACTACATGTACTTCAAACTGGATGAGATTTATTCTTTTGCAATTTCATGTCTTTGAATTGTTCGTTTGTGCCATTAAGTCAGTGTAGACAGACGCGGATCCACGTGGCGATTTTTCCGGCCCTGCTCCCCCCCCCCCCCCACCCTGTAGTCTAAAAAAAATGTTTAAAAAAATAGGATAATAACGTAAATTTAACCTTTTTTTAAACAAAAACAAAAGCGGCGCCCAAAAAATTTTAAAAAATTTCGCCCACACCAAAACAAAATATTACCCCCCCCCCCTGCGTATTCACCGACTGGATGAATCGCTGCTAAATATTTTCTCACGAAGTGGGCCCAATATATTAAAAAAATATATATGTGCTCTTTCCCCCCCCCCCCCCCCCCCCGCTTATTCACAGCCGGCTGAGTCGGCGCTAAATTTTTCCTCTAAAACTGTACCCCCCAAAAAAAATGTGCTTCTACACCCAGCCCCCCCCCCCCCCCCCCCCGCGTTTTTTCATTTTTCACCGGCCGGCTTAGTCGGCGCTAAATTGTTTTCTCAAGATTTGCCCCCCCCCCCCCCCCTCTTTTCGCCGGCTGGATCCGCCCCTGAGTGTAGACGCCACATACTTTAAGTATAATGGCTGCCAGCTGTGCCTTGGTGTGATTAAGAGAGACTTGATGTGAAATGGGTTGTTGAGATTTGGAGAGGGGAGTCCTGGTCCATCATATTACGAGAAACCGGTAGGACGCCGCTAAAGTAAAGTAAAAATATTTGGACTAAGGGCTGTGAGATTCCGAGAAAAGTAAAACATCTGCTCAGAGCTAGATTATATTCTGGATCTCCACAGAAACATGATAGCTGTTCAAAACACATCGGTGTTCTCTACTCTATGTCGCAAATTGGGAACTAGAAGGGCATTGATATAACCCTGTGATTTCACTGCATGTCATGAAAACCCTCTTATGTAACAACAAAATCAAAAAACTATATTCTAGGGCCAAAATTGTCAAGCTTTTCATTACAATGCTGCCCCTCATCACTCATACAATGTACATTTTATAAACTGATGCACAATATTTTGTCAAATACTATTTTTCACATTTTCCTGCAATGCCCCGTTAAAATTAAAATTACATCTATGATTTAAGACATTCAATATATCTTACTAAGGCAATTCTACTGAATGTATGGGCATGGCTAAATTTTATTTTCAATAATCTATAATCATTTTTTGTAATTCTCCTTGATAAATTTCCTAAATTGTTACACGGTTTTAATATAGTTTGTAGATAATCCGTCTTATATTTAAAAGGGGGCAGTGGCTACAATTAGAAGCCTCCATTGACAAAACATGGCACACATATTAAGAACAATGCGCTATTTAAGCACATTTTCCGTTTAGGGACAAACATTTGAATCCAATCAGTTGTAAGACCAATTTGAAAGAAGGTTGAATGCACACGAAAGGAATCTAGCTGAAAGAAACCTCTATATTGACCAGAAAAAAAGCTGACATAAAAGTAAAGTGCAATATTATTAGGTACGTCGATACGAGGATAAAAGCGAGGGCGCTCTTCAAAATAGATTAGGTTAATTAATTTTTAAAATATGTTTTTAATGTAACCGTGTTTCAAAAATTGATTCTAAAAATATGTAATGGCATGAACTATCACTCTACAAAGTTTGAATCATCAATTTAAAGCGCAAGACAAAAAGTTGAACAAAGTACCTAAACAGGACAATAACACCATCTCGAACTGTAAACCTTCGTACATACACATTTTTCCATTCAGGATGGATCCCATTCGTGACAGATTGTGTGGAAATCGATTTACACGTCGTGTATTTTACATGCAGGAAAGGGTGTATCACGCCGTTTAATTACGTTTAATTAAAGGTAGAATTTGCGTAGCAATTAGACGAATTCAGATTTTTTTCCCCCTGCCATTTATTTATTATGCAGTTCATATGCAAAGTTGAACCTAATACGTTCTTATGTCTTTCCATAATACTTAGTGTAAAACTAACACAATTATACACATTATGTGGTGAATATTCTAACACAAGAAATCTATAGAAGATTATAGCTGCAATATGTGACAAATAGATGTAAGAGCTGTTGTGTGTGTAGGGTTTGCCACTGCTTAGTGTGTATAATATGAAACTATTTAAGTTGTATGATTATTGGATATCACGATATTAACAATGTTTATGTATACCCATTTCATGTTAAATAAATCATTCGCATAATAGGAATTTATTTAATCCTGCAGTCGTTTTAGAACAATCAAACCTTGGTATTCATCTATATGGTATAGATTTGGGCTTTTTTGTTTACCTTGCATATGTTATTATTCATTATCTCCATATGTTTTCTTTTAATGCACCCCCTCAATAAACTTTATTTTCAGCACAATTAACTTTGAGGTATATATGCTATTATGTTTCTTGTAAATTGATCCTCAGCATGAGTGTTCAAGCGGTATTAAATCTGGGGCGATGAATTGTAGTTCCGCTATTCAATTTTGTTTTTAAATACATACAAAGTTTTAATTTGAAAAATATATATTCAATGTCTGATCTGGCGAGAGCATAATTTAACCAAAACTGTCAAATGGTGCGAACTGAATTGACTCAGTGACATAAAAGCTCCAAGCCTCAAACATATGGTTTATTATCATTATTGTAAGTTTTTATTGTTGTTATTATTATCATTATTATTACTATTATTATTATTATCGTCATCATCATATATTCATTATCAGTGTTTCTCTATATACTGACCTTAGTTTCACAGTATAGTCTAATTGAGCTGTACCTCTGCACCATCTAACATTCTTCTGAATTCGACTTAATTGGCTTATGAAGATAATTGTTTCCCTTTGAAACAGAACTTTAACAAACAAAACTGCCTACAACTTAAATGACAACGTGATCGACACAAATTAGCAGTCATTGACAATTGCGGATCTTTTCTTTAAGAACAGCCTACCAAGGGTAGCGACTGAATAGTCTTGTTCAAGACTCAAATGCACCAGAAGTCTTAAGAGACTCGAATATATCCGCAGCATTGAACTCAGAATCGAATAAATATAACAAATTTGTTATTTATAACACATCTAATTAAGAATTCAATCTGCGATAGAAGTAAAAATCCGTTTCATAAAACAAATAACAAGTTTATATAGTCAATAATATGTATTGATAGTTCGCGAACGAGTCTAATTGCACTGTCGCGCTCGCTCTAGCGCGCGCGCCTATATCCAACTAAAACGCACCACTAAAACAACGACCTTATCTGTGACAACAGTATAGCTAGGCAACTTCGGTGCTGGACACGGTTTTCTGTAGAAATCCTGTAAGTACATGTCATATTTATTCCGTAATTTCGTATTCATAAGGTGATATTTATGTGTTTTTTGATATTTGAATACTTTCCGGAGGTTAAACAAAGATTGATCCTGAGAGTTAGAGCTCGTGTGCCGGGGCGAGTGCATGAGTAGGCCTAAGTTGGACGGATCTAATTAAATTGCCCAATTTCAGGCGCGACCTGAGAGCGGAAGCTGCATGTAGTGCCCGCCCTAGAACTCCCGGGCATTTTCGCAACAGACCCTACGGCCTACTGTCTACTGAACACACATAGTCTAGCTGCATAATAATAATAAATAATATTTAATTTTTATATAGGTCTTGTCTAGATCTAAGAAGGGAGATCCCGGGTTCGACCCGAACCCAGGCGGATGACTGAAGTGTGTTAACGTTCCCCTTCCCTTGTTCATAGGCGCAGGTTATGTCAAGTGGAAAACAGGATACGACGTTAAATGGAGGCCCCGTGTACAGGAGAGTCACCACCCTTGCAAAGAACCATTTCCTTGCACTATTCGTAGCTATAAATTATAGCTAGAGGTCTAGTAAGTAGTGAAATCTAGACCCTAGTGTAATGGTCCACATGCACACACCAATCAGGCCTAGACCTACTAAAGTATAGGTTCTATGGCAATGGTATAGATTCTAGGGCAGGCATCTTGAAGAATCTTCAGTATTGAAGGAGGCCGGAGGCAGATTATCTTGAAGAAGAAGGATAGTAGATCTAATAATATTTAGGGTCTATATACTTGTTGTAAAGCGCTTAGGCCTAAAGTAAAGGCGCTGAGAGACATTTGTATTAAGCGCTATTCTAGTAGACGTGACCTAGATCTATATCTCCATGTTTGCTTCGACAGGCAGACGCTTTACTAACTGAGCAAACTCGCCTCCTGCGTCCTGGCTGTGTATTAAAAGCTGTGCTATTGATTCTCAACATTTCACACAGCACTGTACAAAACTCAGCTGATTTCACTCAAAATGTGTACTTTACTTAGTCTAGATCTAGTGACAATTGATGACCTAGGCTACTAGTCTAGAAAAAATGAATATTCATCATCTAAAAACCAGGTGGCTGACAACGAATCATGTTGATTACAAGACTTTCTCGGATTAATCATTATCCCCTAGCAACGAAGTCGGAGGGGATATAGAAACACTGCCGTCCGCCCTTCCGTACGTGCGTCCGTGCGTGCATCCGTAACAATTTTGGATTCCGATCAATAACTTCGGTAATGTTTGACGGATTTTAATGAAATTTGATATGAAGGTACATGATATCAAAATACAGGCTAAGTTTAATTTCCGAGTATGTAGGTGAAAGGTGAAAGGTCATATATGTGAAAATGTGGTTAACTTCCTTGCCTAGTAATATAATAGTATAGTCCAATGGAGTTAACTTGTTCTGATGTACATGTATATAGGCCATTTGTACCCTGCGAGGGGATGCTACGCTTTGCGTTGACTTGTTAATGTAGGATCTAAATGAGCAAGCTATCGTAAGTCAAAGTAGATATTTCTTTGTTATTTTTTATTTGTTAATATAGTCAAATGTAATTTTACAGCCAAAGTGAATATATGAGGATGTAAAGAGTAAAAATCTTGTTGCATATCTCATTCATCGCGGTCCTGCCGAACCAAACCATTTGTTCCACTCAGTCACCATAGGACGTACTTCAGTCTATGTATAGAGGCGGTCAGATGAGCCAGATGCAATTTCAGCAGAACAACCGTCGATATCAGAGACTGAAGCTTTCGGTCTATATCAGTCTATACTTTGCTGGAGTGGTATACTGTAGTAGTAGATCTACTGTCATCCGTTGCTGTTATCCGGACTTGGCTGTCGGATTTAATAAATTTAGAATTGAAAATTCCATTTTTATTTCAAGGGCAGGCTAAGCTGTAAGCAGCCAAAACAACAACTCCTGCAATAAACTGCAAACCCCCAAACAGTGTTTAGATTTCACTAACTCCATGCTATACATGTACATGCTTCAGAGAACTCCGCCTACGGCCTCCGAAGGGCTTCGGTGACGGAGCTCCCTGGAGTAAAGATTTCACTAGACTTTAGTTAAGTTAGAATTAAAATAGAAATGTAAATAATCTAGAGTCTAGTCGGTAGACAGTAGGAGGACTAGGAGGCAAATTGGCTCAGTCGGTAAAGCGTCTGCCTGTCGGCCCAAAGATCTTGGGTTCGAATCGCACCCAGGCGGATGACTGAAGCAAGCGTTGTGTGTTAACGTGCCCCTCCCCTTGTTGTTTCATAGACGCAGGCTATGTTACATGGAAAACAATCCGTCTTGGATAGGATGTTAAAAGGAGACCCCGTGTACAGGATAATCACTACCCTTGCACGTTAAGAACCCACGGCACTATTCGTATAAGAATAGGGGGAAAACCTGATGTAGTGGTCTACCTGCACACCCCACTCAGGCCGAATATATATGTATATACATGAATATACGGCATCTGCAAGAATCTTCAGTACCGGTATTGAAGGATAGGAGGCAGATTATCTTCAAGAAGGAGAAGAAGTATACTGCACTCTGCAGTGTAGTGTAGTCTAGTGCCTAGTCATGCTAGTGGTTTCTAAATTTACTCTAGAGTATTGATCTTTTTTTGGCGCAGTCTTGACTCTATGTCCCTTAGTTTACGTCAAGACTCTGTCTCTACTCTCAGTCTTTAGACTGCAAACATTGTAGCAGTGACTGTTGTTTTCAGTCACTGAGTCTGAATGTGAACCTAGCTATTTTAAGAATAAATTTTCCCCCTCTCTTTTACAGGAAATATACAGAGTGTATTACCATATGCTTGCTTCTTTGAGTATGTGCCTGAAACAAGAATGTCCTGGAGAAAACGGACCACAACAAGAAAAGGTAATTTTTTTTTTTTTTTTTTTTTAACTTGGACTTTTTAAAACTTCACCTGTTTAGTTAGTCAAGTAAAAGGAAATTTTTAAATGGGTGAGGGCATTAAATAAGGCCAAGTTAGAGGGGTATGCAAAGGGCTGGTATGAGAAGTATCGATTCAGGGGTGGCTACATGGTATGTGTGCAACAAGATGTCTACTAACAAGTTGCTGTAGTGTTTATTTATAGTGTATTTTAACTTCCAATATATATATTTTTTTATAATTAACATTTGAAGGCCTTGAAAAAGGGATGGGGGGGGGGGAGGGGGGGGGGAGTCCTATACACGAAACAGAATGACAAGCAAAAAGAAAATAATTGACCTTCATATTTTGCTGAAAAAGAAAGTAAACATTGAAGACAATTGAAGAAGAAAAAAATAATGCAATTTTTGTGTATTCTTACATATTTGGTTAATATTTATTGAATATTTTTATAATTCTGTTCCAGAGATGGAGAGGAAGGGCTTGCTGTTGAGAGATCATGGGGTGCCTTGAGGTTCCACTTCCAGTCTTGATGTTCTGCCCCTTACCTCTAAGCGATGGCCTCTTGTGCCTGGCAATATATGAGCGAAGCACAATGGACTGGTAATTCATAATGCATATTACAATGTTTTTTTAACAAATCAGGGAAAGAAACAGAGATAAATTCATAGCATATGAGTCTGTCATGGCATTTTTAGTAACTCAACATTTGCTCCTGCAACGACTACTCTAGGCTTTATTTTGTCAAAGGTGTAGGGTTAGACTGAGGGTTGGAATTGTGATTAAGGTGGTTTAGGTTTAGGGTTAGGCCTAGGGATGAAGTTTAATAGTGTAGAAAAATTATGTGAAGCAATTGTCTCAGGAGAAGGTGTTGTACAACTTGATTTTCCAGGTGCTGGTGGAGCTGCATGTATCTTTTACTCATCAATGGTAGTTTTAAAATCTTCCTCTGTATTGTGAAAGCAGAAACATGATGTAGAGTGGAAGAGAAAAAAGTATGTAACACAGTATCATTTAAAATAGATTTTATAAATTAAAAACACACTGGCCTGCAGTTTGTGAAACATGTAGCACTGTATTACCAATTAAAAGAATTCAGCGATTTTTACAACGTGCTCTATTGGCATTTATGTACTGGTTATGTTGTAACACAAAATGAATTCTTAACTTTAATCCTGGATCCATTGCTAAACATAATGTCAACCCTAAATGTATTAAACATTGCCAGACCCAATTTCGGGCTACCCTAAATCCCTTTCTACATACCAGTATTGTTCAAAGTTTATATTTATTACACCCTTACTGCGAGTTCTAGAAATTCTGCAAGAATCCTACCCTGCTGTTCACTTTATAATTAGTACTTCACATTGCTTTCATGAACATGCCGTAAAAGTGAATTTATTTTATGTCTCTATACAAACAGGTGCCTGTACATGTAATGTATTTCATGCAAATGAAGGGTAGAATGAGAAGCTCACAATGATATGGTAGACAAGGACCTTGCTGTCTAAAGCTCGGAGGCCACGCCAGATGACAGTGTCTGAAGTAAGTCGCCCCATAGAAGAGCGAGAACTTTCTGTTGCAATTGTTAACATGCAACACATCCTTACCACATGCAACCCATCCCACTTTCACAATATATTTTCTTAACAACAGTAACCCAAGTTCAACGTTTGGATTGGTGATTTTAAACATAAAAACAATGGTCTGAATGTTTAATTAGATCTTTTACGCAAACGTAGTATATTAGTAATGAACGGCATGTTTGGTAATACAGTAATTTCATTTCAGACCATGAAGACCATGTATTATTATAATTATCTGGGATCTGTCGTTGGGCTGATAAGCATGGAAAATAAGGAATGTACTCCTGTCGAACGAACAATATGTTTTTATAAAACGAATAACTCTTTGAAGATTACTTACTAGAAGAAGTAGAACAAGAAGAAAAAGAAGAAGAAATACACTGATGATGTCAGCTTGACTTCCTAAAGTTGTATACTATTTGAAAATAGTTTATATTTTATTCATGAACAGCCGGCTTGTCGGAATTGCGTACAAGGATGCCATTGGACTTTTCTGTACTAGTAGCTGAAGGGGGGAGCAGTCACCAGAAGGAGCATGCAACTCCAAAACAATGTGGATACTTCTACCGAGTTCATCTCAAGAATCAAGATGTGACAGTGGATGTACATGTAGAGGGGTTTGTGACCCTCCTGACTGTGGACTACATGCAATACACATCAATGGATTGTAGAGGAGTAATGGTGGGTCCGGTGAGCTCAACTCTGGAGGTTAAGTTCGCAAAATTAATAAATTTCCTTTTAATATGGGTGTATATGGTTCCAGGGATTAATTTGACGCAATGCCTCGTAGTGACACGCCCTATTAAGGGGCAACACACGTGTCAGAAGGTATAAAATGGGAAGCAGTTCCTGAATTGGCACGAGCTTTTACTTTTCGGATGACTTCCTCATTTTGTTTCATACCTCATTTCCTTTGCCGCCATGAGGTGCTAAAGTTTTAGCAGAGTTGGGGGCTTCCAGCCCATAGATGTGACTTTTCATGATTATATGTAATAAATTGTAATAAAGTTACTATCCACTTCAACACTTGACTCTTGTCGAGAATTTTATTTCTTTGTGTGGACTTTGTTCTTCTCTGGAACGCGATTTGGGCAGTGTGATAGGCGGCCACCGGCCACTCAGTTGCCGGGGCTGTTTCATATATAAAGAATGTGTGAAGACAAGCGACTGCATTATAAGCTCAGCATGATCAGTAACATTGATTCCTTTTATGAGGAAATTTAAATTTTTGTTCCTCCCAACCATGAGTTGTACATATTCTTTGATTCGGGGAGAGGTTGGTGAAGAGGGATAGGTGCCCCATATTTTGTATTGTAACAGGTTTTGTTTTCTACATAAGGAGACAAGGATAATATAGTAATATATCACCTATATCAACACGATGAGCAAGACGGCGAATGAGGCGATAGAATGAGTTTAGAGAGGGTGGGGAAGGAGGATCGAGAGAATAGAAGGGGACGAGGTGAGAAGGAGACTGAGTGTGGAAAACAGAATTGGAGGGGTAAAGGAGGGCGGGAGCAGGAGGTAGAAGAGAGAGGTATATAGAGTAGAATAGGGAAGAAGGGAGGAGATGGATTGAGTGAGGAAAAAGAGGATGAAATGGGGAAGAAAATGGAGGAAGGGCTAGAAATGAGTGGGACAATAATAATGATATATGCCCGATATATGATGTTAGGCTGAAAGAGGAGGAAGGCCAAGAAATGGGAGGTGATATAATATACAATGAGGAGACTCTGTGAAAGCAGGGGGAAAAAGAGGAATTAATGGGGGGGGGGGGGGTTAAAGGGAGAACAGAAAGTAGAGGAGAGGCCGTCCCTTCAAAAATAAAACGTGTAAAAACACGTCGATTTAACCTTTTGGGGGAGATGCCCCGCCCCCCCCCCCTTGAGCACCAAGGGGGGGGGGGAATTAAGAGGGCCCCCCCCCCCAAAAAAAAAAAAAAAAAAATGTGCTCACTACCCCACTAAGGGGAGGTTAAAGGGGGAACAAAAAGTAGAGGAAAGCGAGAGGAACGGTGGAGCTGAGAGAGCGAGGTAAGAGAGGGGCAGTGGCGGATCTGGGTGGGGGGGGGGCCCCTTCGAAAATAAAAATGTAAAAACACGTTAATTTTACCCTACCCCCCCCCCCCCCCCCGCCGCTCAAGGGGGGGGGGGCAAAATTTAGAGGGCCCCCCCCCAAAAAAAAAAAATGTGCTCACTACCCCACTAAGGGGAGGTTAAAGGGGGAACAATAAGTAGAGGAAAGCGAGAGGAACGGTGGAGCTGAGAGAGCGAGGTAACAGAGGGGCAGTGGCGGATCTGGGTGGGGGGGGGGCCCCCTTCGAAAATAAAAATGTAAAAACACGTTAATTTTACCCTACCCCCCCCCTGCCGCTCAAGGGGGGGGGGCAAAATTTAAAGGGCCCCCCCAAAAAAAAAAAAAATGTGCTCACTACCCCACTAAGGGGAGGTTAAAGGGGGAACAATAAGTAGAGGAAAGCGAGAGGAATGGTGGAGCTGAGAGAGTGAGGTAAGAGAGGGGCAGTGGCGGATCTGGGTGGGGGGGGGGGGCCCTTCGAAAATAAAAAAGTAAAAACACGTTAATTTTACCCTACGCCAGCCACCACGCCCCCCTGCCGCTCAAGGGGGGGGGGCAAAATTTAGAGGGCCCTCCCCCCAAAAAAAGAAATGTGCTCACTACCCCACTAAGGGGAGGTTAAAGGGGGAACAAAAAGTAGAGGAAACAGAGAGGAACGGTGGAGCTGAGAGAGCGATGTAAGAGAGGGGCAGTGGCGGATCAGGGGGGGGGGGCCGTCCCCCCCCCCCCTTCAAAAATAAAACGTGTAAAAACACGTTAATTTTACCTTTTGGGGGAGATTCCCCCCCCCCCTGGCGCTCAAGGGGGAGGGGGGGGGGGGGAATGCAAATTTTAGAGGGCTTCCCCCCAAAAAAATGTGCTCACTACTACCCGCCACCCCCCCCCCCCCCCCAACCCCCCACTGAGCGCATTTTCGGCTGGCGCGATTTTCAAATTTCCGGGAGCAAAAAGAAAAAAAATTGGGCCCCCACCCCTAAGAAATTCTGGATCCGCGCCTTGAGAGGGGAAGCAGGGAGAAAGGGGGATCGAGAGAGGGACCAACATTAATAAGACGCGGAGAAAAGGGAGCGGAGGTGGGGAGAAGGCGAAAGGGGGCATTCTTTTGGATTTAAGAGGGCGGCCGGCCGGGTAAGGGAATAAGGGCCTATACTCCGTGGAGCGTTTAGGAAATGAGGGGAAATAAGAAGAGCTAGCGCAGGATAGTGAAGGGAAAGAGAGAGGGAGAAAGAGCGCGTGCGGGGTGGAGGGAAGGAAGATTGAGGAGGGGGGGGGGGCGGGTGACAAATAAGCAGGCCGACTGGAGAATGAGTTGAAGGTTTGGGAAAAGGGAGTGAAGGAACTAGGGGAAAGGATTGGATAAACTGGGATTAACGGATAAGAGCGAATTAAAGGTAGAAGACGAAAGTTGGAGGAGAATGAGGAAGGAGAGAATGAAAGGGGAGAGAAGAAAGAAGGAGAGAGTGGTAAACAGAGAGCTAGAGAAGGGAAGCGGTAAGGCAAGGGGAGGAGGGGAGGGATGAGCAAGCAAACCGGCGGAAGAACGAGTTTAGAGAGGATGGGGGAAAGATGATTGGGTTTACGGCGAAGAGAGTGAAATGGCTGAAGGGGTGCATGGGGGGTGGGGGGGGGGCAGGGGAAAATCAAAGGAGAATGGGGATGAGGGATCGAGAGAATAGAAGGGGACGAGGAAAGAAGGAGAGACACTATAATACTCAGGTGATAAAGAGGAACAGTGCGTTACTGTGGCTACCGTAATCTGGATAACATTTAAGTAAGAGGTAATAGTCTACTCACAAGACGATTTTATGTTAATGGAGGGTCTATAAATAGGGGTAATATCAATGTATAGCTCTTTTAAAATGTTATACAATCGGCCTATGAACAAATGAAACTCCTAACTTCACTACAACCTTTGTTTTGGTGATCAATTGGTACTCTTTACCGCTAGGTTCTTTTAAAGCTATGATCTTGCTTAATTCGTTGTTTATGCATGCATGAAGCATTGCCCCTACCCCCCTAAAAATATTTAAAAAAGTGAATTAAAAAAAGTTATGTCAGTGCCAACAAAATCTAAATCAATAAGTGAACATTGAACAACATGAACAACTTACACAGAGGAGCATGCACGCGTTTTATTTTATATCATTTATATTTTCATTGCCCATGCGATTAAAAATAGGTAAAGTCTGGAGTAAAGAAAACTCATCAGACCAGTGTACTATCAGGGCGCACAAATTACTCAATCCTACAGTTCACTACTGTTCTATAAATCTAACCTAGGTGACAATAGTTCCAGTTCATTACCAGAGCAACTTTGTCACCTGGGTTTCAGATTACATATTCTGCTCTGATATTACTGAGCAACTTTGGGTAATCTGCTTCGATACTTTACTGTAACTGTATTGGTATCGGGTGGTGAGCCACAGGCTTTTGGTACAAGAAAAAGGAAAGAAGAAAAAAGGTAAATTGCTTTAAAAAAAAATGAATCTATCGTTTTTCTTAAGGATAAGGGTATCAAAATGAACTTTAACCAGGGGTATTTCGACTTATATAGGTCAACTTAAATACACAGAGTGTCAAAGCCTTTCTTACTCTCTACTCAAGTAAAACCAGTCTGCACGCACAGACTCCAATTTGACACTTTACCACTTTGTTTGCGAGCTCATGTTTGAGGAGTACAAAGTAGCCAATGCCGAAAACGAGGTTGGTGATATTTCTTGTTATTCTGGAATCTCATGATCATCTTTCCTTATCCGGCAGCGGATGTCTTCTCAGATGATCTAGGGATAAACAGGGTCTGCAAAAGTCTACAAAATAGCCCAAGGCCGAATCCGAGGTTGGTGATATTTCCTATTCTGAAAT